GACAGAAACGAAAAGTCTTAAAGCAGAATTTTCCGTTTTTGTCTCCTTGGAATCGCTCCTTTTTGGCCTGATTCACTCATAAGACAGGAGAGGAGGTGACGGGAGAGGAGGCAGCCGATTAGGGAAGGGATGTTCGCATAGGATGCACGCAGCGAGACGGAGACGGAGAGCGCGGGGTGAGCGGCCGCGAGGAGAGTCAGAAGGCAAACAAACTTCTTTTGAGGGAGGGCAGCGACGCCTCGACGAGCGAATTCCTTTCCTTCCCGGAATCCGCACAAAAGGGAAAATTCCACGGGAATGCACATTCTATGGATGCTTTCATCTCGTAGGGGTAATGCCGTGTTCTTTATCGGATCCCATTACTCTCATGGATGAATTCATTAATGGTACCAGGAAACCTTTAGCCTTGAAATCAGGCAGATTCCAGGTAGCGGAACGCGTCCTGATCCTGCAGTGAAAATATTTTAGCATATTGAAAATCGCAAGAGTCTTTTGAAAGGTATCCTTTTGAGAAACGTGGGAAAAAAAACTCGTTTCTCGTATTTTTGCGATTGTGTCAGATTCCGTGTTCGTCTCTCACCCGCTTTCGTTGTCCGACGATGGCCTGCAATTCCCAGCCGATCGCTCTCAATATTGGCGTGAAAATATGCGACAATTTTGAAAAATGTTGGACCAAAAGCCAAATATTTCATCTCTAATTTTTTATTTATTTTGTAATTTGCTAAGAGCCAGTCTCCATGAGTCCAGATCCAGGGAGGAGAAAACCTCGTTTTCTTGGCTTCTTTAAATTAATACAATATTGGCAGGGCCGCAATCGAGGGATCGGGGGTCTGAACCCCCCCAAACCCCTTCTCATGATGGATTCTCTCTACTTCTCCATCCCCCTCTCCCCCCGAGGGTGGGGGACGCAGAAAGATATCATGCGCAAACGACCTGAGAGCGAGGCTGAAAAGGCAGAAAGATAGGCGGTGAAACGTGAAGGTCACGCCAGTTACATCCAGCAACTCGCTTTAGTAACGTGAGTAAAGAAAACTTCCTGCACACGAGCCGCTACTAATTTTTTTTTTTTCTGAAAACGGAAGGACTATTCAAATAAATAGGCGCGAATCGTACAGGTTAATGAATTTCCAGTTGCACATCTGCGCAGTGATATTTGGGACGAATCCCGAAATTAATTTAGATAATTTTTAGCTTTTTCAGATATCGAATGTGTTTTTATCATTTAGCGTTCAAATTCCGTTTCCACCATTTCATAACATTTTCCTTCGTTTCATTTTCTTCGTTCGCGTGTTCTCGCCGTTTCGCGTTTTTGTCGAACATATGATGATTTGATAACACCTTGCATTTGGAGACATTTGAAAGACGAACTTCGACCCCCCCCCCCCCCCAACTTTGGAGCTGGTTGCGCCACTGAATATTGGGTTATTATTATGTATTAAAATGTGGTATGTACAAACTTCCTGCGTTTCTCTGTTACCACTAAGTGCACTGCGAAAAACCCCGTCCAGAATGCGAAGTAGATGAGATGATCTCTCGGATGCTCACGCTCCCTCGAACGGAATTCTTGATCCTCTTTCAAGCGTCCCCTTTTCGCTCCCAAATCGATTTAATAAAACCTACTGTGGTCCGTGACATATTTAGCTCCCAAAGCGAGGATTGAAAATTAATCCCTCCTCCGGTGACGGGAGAGGAGGCAGCCGATTAGGGAAGGGATGTTCGCATGGGATGCACGCAGCGAGGCGGAGAGCGCGGGGTGACCGGCCGCGAGGAGAGTCAGAAGGCAAACAAACTTCTTTTGAGGGAGGGCAGCGACGCCTCGACGAGAGAATTCCTTTCTTTCCCGGAATCCGCACAATAGGGGAACTTCCACGGAAATTAATTTTTTTTACACGCTCTGTGGTTGCTTTCATCTCTTAGAGGTGAAGCCGTGCTCTTTGTCGATCCAATTACTAGCCTTGAAAGTAGGTAGATTCCAGGTAGCAGAACGCGTCCTGATCCTGCGATGTTAACATTTTAGCATATTGAACATCCCAAAAGCATTTTTGAGATATTTTTTCCTCGTTTTCCCTTCGTCGCTCGGATCGTTCCGATGGCCTTGGATTCCCTGTGCGTCCCTCACCCGCTTTCGTTATCTGTCGATGACCAACAATTTCCAGCCGATTGCTCTCAAAATCGGCACGAAAATGTTCAAGACAGGCCGAGCGAGCATGCTTTTGAAAAAATTCGGATCGAAGCCAAATTTTAATAGCTACTTTTTATTTATTTTGTACCTGAGAGCTAGTCTCGATCCTTCCAGGATCTGGACCCCAAGGCGCATGCGTAGCCCCTGGCCAGGGTCAAGCCGTCTCCATAACACAGGATGAACATTCCCCTTCCTCTCGTACAATCGCTGCCCATGACGTCACTCCTCGTGACGTCATCGCCCAACCGTAGCCGCGTGACAGGGGCACGACGGAGGGTCCGACGCCGTCGACTGGCGAATCCGCAGGAGCGTGGGTGCGAAGGACGAGGGGAGGACGTCAGAGGCCCCCCGAGACCCTCGGAGGCCTTCGGAGGCGATTGGAGGCCCTCGGAGGGCTTCGGAGGCCTGCATTCCGGTCAAGGTTGCCCCGACGTTTTAAATATCCGCGAATCGCTGCGATCGTCCTTGAAGCGTTCGCCTGCAATCGAGACGAAATCGTTCTCCACCCGACGTCAAAAGAAACACGATAGAGATGGAAATTCCCTCATCGAGGGAATCGGCGTTCAACCTTCATCCGTTTCTCCCGGGATTCGACGAGATTACGGGCCGAATCGGAGAAGGGGGGGGGTGGAATGTGTGCAGAAGGCTCCGTCTCTCCCTATCGCTTTTCTTTGTCGTCTGCCTTCCGAATTCGGGTGAAGGCCCCGAGAGTGAAATTGGTCAATTTACAGACGACGACGATGAAAGGTTTACCCTTCAATGAGTGTGTTTGCATGTGCCTGTGTGTATGGAGGGTGTGTGGGTGGGTATGTGGGTGGGTTTGTGTGTGGGTGTGGGTTTTTGTGTGTGTGTATGGGTTGGTGGAGTGTGGAGCGTACCATTGCCATGGTATGTATTTTTATGTTGATGTTATGTATGTAAACATAACATCAACATAAAGATAAGGTTTATGTTTATGTGTCATGTGCATGTCTTCTCTTGTGCGAGGATAGTACCAATTCCCTTTGTTTCGGTTTAAATCGAGGCGTAAACTATACAAGGTAAACTATAAAAAGGCAAACGTTTCAATGCTCATTTTAGGTGCGAGGGTTTCAAGGATATTTTTTTCGGCTACATGTAATGGAAAGAAGAAAGATTTCGCAACAAAATGCTTTCTTCAGACTTGAAATATCTAAAATGGTGACTTGGGACTTTGAAAGTTTTCCCCTTTTTTTTGGGCTACCCTTTATATTTTGAAAGTAGTCAAAGGTTGATCCTGTCATTTTAGGATTGAGCTTTCGGTTGTAATTCGGCTTCCATGGCTGGCAAGAGCTGAGGAAGCCGTTTCCAGCCCGACTGAAAATTTTCAGGCTTGAAACCAGCCCGAATCTCGCTCCATTTTCCAGTTGTTTCCGGCTGGGATTCCAAGCCGGGCGAGTGAATAATGTGTTTGAGGTCAGCCGATATGCCGATTTTGCGCGATAAGAGCCGTTCGCAAGGTTTTCGCGGAAAACAGGATATGAAACATGGCAACAGCCGCCAACACTGCCTGTTGGCTGTTGCCATGTTTCATATCCTGTTTTCCGCGAAAACCTGAGAGAGCGTCTGCCACCGGCGGACCCGGCGGAGGCATCCACGGAATCGAATTGAGGTCGTCTGACCTTGAGTCCGGGAGGTGGCTCTGGAGTCGAAGGTAAAACCAAGATGGCGCCGCTCATTTTCCACGTGGTTCCGAATTGGGGACAGTAGGTTGACGAAGAGAATGGGGAGTTGAACTTTAGTCGGTTCCTTTGACGACAGTGAAGTTGTGAGTAAGAGGAGACCGTGAGGTGAGGGATGACGGGGATTTCGCACAATGCGAGTTTCTTATTGCGACATGCGCAACCGGCAGGCGTAAATGTCAGTCGTAGGCAGGCCTGAGTTCGTTTGGAGATCCTTGGATCATTTGTGAAATCCCCGAAAAAAAAGTCGTCTGGAAACCACACCTCTTACGATAGACATAGCAATAGTCATTCTCCGTAAGATTGCCTTCAACATACCTAGGCCTACTCATGCAAGGTTCAGGATCATGTAGGGTGTCCCACAAATGTTGAGCACATTTATTTTTTGGACAATTTAAATAGGAATTAAGAACCTCAATTTTTATTTATTTCAGAATATTGATATGACCTTATTTCATTACTGATGTAGCCAAGCGAGAGTTATAAAGGATGAAGATTGTGTAGCTTTATTTCCAACATGGTCTGTACATGGCTCAGTGAGCATTTGGAAGAGAAACAAACCATAGAAATGCTCCCAACAGAAGCACTATCAAGTGACTAGTGGAAATTTTTCTGATCACAGAGGGTTCTGTGGCAAAAAAATATACTAATGGCACCTGTCAGTGCTTATGCAATGAACAATAGCAGCAATAAGTGAAGCTATTTAACACAACCCTTGGAAAATCAGTCAGGAGACTCTGCAGGATCTGGTTTCTCTTCTGAGTGCTTGCTGAGCCTTGGGTCCAGATGCATGTTGGAAATACAGCTTAGCAATTTTTGTCCTTTATGCAAATCCCATTCAGCCTTACTTGCAATATTTGATTCTCAGATGTATTAATTGCTCATGCATGTTTCTGAAAGCATCCATGCTCTTGGTGGATTGGAAAAGGAAGAAGTGCTTCTTTGATATGTCTTGAAACCAATAAGAGAGTAATGTGTGCAAGTAGATTCTATGCATGATAGTACAATGTCTCTGCTCAGGATGCTAAAAGTCTGGAGATGTTCAGCTTGCAGCAACCCTAATATCTTTATTTCTTGGTTATTGTGCTTGATTAGATGATTGCTCAGTTCCATGTTTCTCTTTTGGTCTTGGCAGACTCACCTTGTTGCAGAATGTCATGTTATGGTGCAGGCATCTGCAACAGTTAAACATTCCACTTTACATTTCATCTCAGACTAAAGGATGGGTGACGATGTAACAATAGTTAGCCCGTCCACTTTGAGTTGGAGGGTGAAATTGGCTTATGGGATTGGCCATGTCTTGAATGACCTCTGTGCTTCCATGTGGTTTACTTACTTACTCCTCTATTTCCACTTTGTTCTCAAATTCAACAATGCATACTCAGGTATCATCCTATTGATTGGTGAGTACTACTTTGATTTCTTAGGTGTTATTTTATTGCAGAGCTTTTCCCCAATGGATAGACTTGGTTCTTTCAGGCCAAATTGCCGATGCTGTCTCTACGCCATTCATCGGGATAGAATCCGATCGAGTGGATGACTTCTGGTTCTGCAAGTATGGGCGACGGAAGACATGGCACCTCGTTGGTGAGTCCCATTCAAGATCTCCTCTCTTTTTCTTGCATTTTCCAAGTGCTACTCTCTCTGCAGGTACCATTTGTGTGCTGGGGACTTTTCCATTCATCTTTATGCCCTGCGTTCAGTGCGAAAATGCCCATCAGGGAGCCCAGATGGTGTATTATGCAGCATTTGTTATCATCTTCCAGTTTGGTTGGGCAGCAGTCCAAGTTGCCCATCTCGCTCTCATCCCCGATCTCACTCCAGATGAACACGAGCGCACAGAACTCAATGCCATCAGGTTTTTATCCTGGCTTATTGAGCAAGAATATGAATGTCTTTGTCTTCCAAACATGGTAGTACCATGCTTTCACCAGATATGCATTCACGGTGCTGTCCAACATCTCTGTTTACACCATCACCTGGGTGGTCCTAGGCTTGCAGCAGGACAATCCTGGGACACAAAAGATTGGCCCTGAAGACACTACCAGCTTCCAGGTCTAATTTCACCTTCTCTTGATTTGGGCTTAGCATTCTCCATTTCATCATCAAATCATTTATGTGCTTTTCTCCTAGATTTTTGGGGTTATTTTATATATTCATCAATGAGATGTAATTGAAAAGTTCTCCAATGTATGGGAGGTCTAGGTGCACCTGGTTTATTCAACAAATTTCTGTTTCTTAACTGTCCTTGAGGAAAGTATGTCATTGGATTGAAACTCATCAATTTTAAATCCAGGACCACCATGATCATGCTAAAGATTTGCATTGATTTTTGAGAATCATCATCTTCAGCTCTGATGTGTCCACTTTTAATAATGTTCCTCCTGTGCCTTTCAGAGTATTGTGCTGATCACTGTCTCAGTGGGAGCTTTGTTCTCTGTACTCTTCCACATGGGTGTGAAGGAGTCATCTCCACAGCCTTACACCACCTTGGATGGTGGAGAAACGAGAAAGATGAAAGTCATGGACTGGTTGCGCATCTTTCCACTCTATCAGGTGGCAGCACTTTACATGCTGGCCCGCCTGTTTGTAAACGTGACCCAAGTCTACATTCCACTCTACCTCCAAGATTCCCTGGAATTGAAGGAGGAGAGCATTGCTGTGATCCCTCTTGTGATGTTTATCATCGGTTTCCTCTCCTCCTTTGGCATGAAGAAACTGAACCAGATGGCTGGGCGCAAAGTGGGTCTCTTTCTTGCCCCAGCTTTATCTTAGTCATTCTGATTTGTTTTGCTCTGCTGTACATTTGTCTGTGAAGAGTTATTGATGACTTTAGCTGACACATTTTGAAATAAGTTTTGATATTATGAGGAAATTGAAGTGGAGCAACAATGGCCTAATTGGGGATGGAGTGAGACTCAGCCACTTATTTTTCATTTGATGACATTGTTCTTGTATGAAGGACCCCCAAAAAAATGCAATACATGTTGAAAGGAGATGAATAATTGATAAAATCTTAGTTAGCTCAGCCACCTCTATTAACCCCCAACTATTGCTGAAAATGAAAAAGTATATTTGGGAAATGATAAAAACATGGACTTTAATGCATGGGAAATCTGGAAAGGAAAAAGAAAATCTGAAATATTAAAACCCCTTGTTGTGGGGTTTTAGAAATGGTGCCTTCTTCAGAATAGCACAAGTGTACTTCCAGGAGGAAGAGCAATAGAAAGATTAAGCAATGAAGACCTTTTGGAGTCAAATGAATTAGAACATCTCAGGGATAACAGAGTAACTGGGGAGGGATTTTCTCAAGCAGTGAACTGGAAATTGCTGGTGATGAGTGCCATGGAGGAGGACCATATTATTCAGTTTCAATTTTGTCTTCAGGTTGATCATGCTGTAACTATGGTGCCTCTTGAGCTTGCTTTTTGTACTTTTTGTAAAACTTGATTCACAAGGTTCGGAATTGTTTTGCATGTCCTTGAACAGTCTGTTTTCAATTGCCTTTAAGTGCTACTTATCTTTAACCTCAGATCACATATGCCTTGGGTGCTGCACTGGGAATAGGGGCATGCATATGGGTGCAGCTCGGGTCGGAGTCAACGCTGTTTCGCACTTACGAGGTGTATGCTGTGGCTGCCCTCTTGGGTGTATCCATGACCACAGTCCTCATCACTTCACTATCAATTACAACCGATCTCATCGGGCAAAACATTGAGAGTGGGGCCTTTGTCTATGGCGCCATGAGCTTCTGTGATAAACTTGCCAATGGTGTGGCTGTCCTTCTCATTCAAGTCGTCCATCCTTGTCGGTGAGATTTGCTCTGCCTGATGGGCATGCATAAGTTATCTTCCTTCAAATTTTGGCTGTCCAGGGGTGTGATAGTAATTACATGAGAAAAAGTGTGAATAGTTATGCATTTGTAGTTAAGTAGACAGGCCAATGTGCAAAAAATAAAAATAAAAACCAAATATTTCTCAGTTATAATTTAATGATATGTTGTTTTGTGGTGATGATTTCAGGGGGTATTTTGTACCTGGAGCAAGTATATTTTTGTAGGCTTACTGAAACTTCATGCCAGTTCCAGTTGACTGTATTATAGTATCTGTTCTAATGAATTAGAGATTTGCATTAAACATTGCACTTTTGCTTCTTACATTGTATCTGAGAAGGCACTCAGAGACAAAATGAAAAATGACTCTTAGTGATGATCCCTAATGAGAATTGGAGTGCATGGACTTACATGTTGAATCATTGGGAACAACAGAGTAACTTGTTTTCAGCTCAAGGTTGCTCTTCCCTATGTAGACTCATCTTGGGGCTAGTCATGATAAGTTGACTTGGTATGTGAAGGTCATTTCAATAATAATTAAAAACTCTGAAGTTGGCCTTGACCTCTTGTAATTAGAACATATAACCCTTGCTTTGCTTCTTGTTTGGAATTACTGCTTATCATGAATTTCTGATCAAACATCCTGGTTGCATTTCATTCATCATAGGCAATGTTGTGAAAAAATGTGACATTAGTGAAATTTTAGGGGGGGGAAATGTAAAGGAAAACAAAATATTCATGAATATTGCATAAATACCTGCTGGGCTGGAGTGAGTGTGATGAATAGGAAAATAAAGGATTATATCCACCCATGAAGCCTGAAGGAGCATTCAGTTTTCTATTTGTTCATTAGTGAAAAAACTCTGAATCATCAACATGTCACTGTTGTGTACTGAGAAAGCCAAATGGCCTTTACATTGAAATAATGATCTTCATGCTGTAAAAAGAGGACAGTATTTCATTTGTTCTCATTACTAGGTAGCTATAGTGTTGATCGTGATGAAAAATACATCTTTATTAATGTGTATAAAGAAATGAAGTTGGCTGTTGGATTGGTTCATTTGCTCTAGGGATGTGTGTCCAGGGTGTGGCGGGTACTACAGGGACATCATCTCATACTTTTCTGGGAGCACATTGATATTATCCCTGGTGGTCGTTGCCACCATCATCCCCACCACTTTCCATCGACCTCGCTCAGGTGGGTTGCCCTTGGTTGTGGTCTCTTCTCCTTGATATGCATTATTTTTAATCCTGGTGGTGACTGAGTCTTAAGTCAACTGCTCTCATGAGACTCTCTTTTCTGCAACAGCTCACAATGATACAGGGGTGCCAACCATCTCTTAGCAAAGGTCAACATGCTATGCGACATGGAAAGGAAGTATGGGAAAAAGAGCTAAAAAAATTTCTTTGTTCTTGTGAGTCTTGTCAAGATGGCCACCTCCTCCAGCTATGTCTCGGTTATGGACTCATGGGACCCTGTGTGAGTCCGGTAGTCCACCTGCTTGAAGAAAACCTTATGATGTTATGGGTGGTTAGAAAGAACACCCTTGATATGGGACCCAATAGCTGAGCATCTGTGTGTATGCATTAATTTGCCCTTGCTTTCCTCTGACATATGACCAGTAATGAAAATAACTTTGCCTGCAACTTTGAACCAAATCATGTTGCTGCACTTCATACTGGATATGTCAAAGAAATTTTTGTAGCCTGAGTTTCGGCATGCAGCTCCTTAGAGCTCAGAGTTAGCATGAAAGCTACTTGAAAGCATGCTGGGCTGGAGCACATTGTTTTATTTTATTTTTTTAAAGTAGCAGCAAAAATATGTGTGTGAATTATGACTCCTTGTGCCCCTTCAGAATGTTGGGATTGAGTGACATTCTGTTCTTTTCTGTTTGAGCCCATGCAGAGCTCACTTTCATGATGTGGGTGCCCATACTGGACCAACCATGTTGATGGTACACTCATGTTTTACACTCTTCCAACCATTAGATTGATATCCTATTACAGAAATGGTTGGAAGAAGAAACCATGCAGAATCTGTTCTCTCTTCTCAACATTCATTCTAATGTTGTGTGATCATGCAATGGATTCCAATCTCAGTTGCAAAAAGTCTTGTTCCTTGGTGAAGAAAAATTTCCTAATAAATTTAGGGATGTAACGATATTATATTGGTATCGGTTATTGGACCGATATTTACTGATCAGATAAATATCGGCATTCCGAGATTTTGCTTCATCGATATCCAAGTGCATGATGAACGTCTGCTTCACTCAATATAAATGCAACGTAACCGTTGACACCATCATCCAGTGATGTTTCTGTCAGTATTTTTGCTTATGTAGTCACAGGCCTACCTCAATAACATTAGGCGCCGGGAACGCTTCCCTGAATCCAGTTTGTCATATATCAATACTTTACACCATTCTTGCTGAAGGGAGTCTAATGATATTTGACACTTCTTTGGAGGGAGAGAGACTGTAAATTTAAACGGAATTGGGAGTCAGTACTACGTCTACAGAAGCAGGCACCATGACAGCCATAATAGCAATGATGATCTGAGCAAATATAGAAACAAGAAGAAATACGTTTTCCGCAAGTTGTGCACTTGAGATGGAGCCAGTAACAATGAAAAAAGAAGCAAAAGTTCAGTCAAGGTTTGACTTGGCAGGAAAAAAAAAACCTTGACGAAAATGCCGCCAAACTGCTGATATGCACACAAATCGTTCATCAATGCAAGCATTGGGGGCTTCAGGACCATGTTCCATCTCTCCCTTTTCTCGCCCTTTTACGTCATGACCGGCTGGATATGATCTTACTGGCTGACCAGACGCCAAACATGTCTTCTTCATGGGTTGGGGGATGAAGCAGAAACTGTTGATCATTAAAAGCTGAATGGCATTTCGAAACGTTGGTTCTCGCCTGATTGGACAAGCATGCACAATTGCAGAATGAGAAGAAAGGGATTTGACAGAAATGGACGAGGGGAGGGAAGCGGGTATGAGGTTGAGGGGGAAAGCAACGATGGTGTGCGTCTTCTGGTTCTGTTTGCAGGCCGAACAAGAACCAATACACTCCATTTAGTTGTTGGACTAACATTAGACCTATGTCTAGGTCTACATTACTTCTCATGAAAAAAGTATCAGAAAAGCACGCCAAGATGATGTACGGTGCCAAAGGATGAATCTCAGTCATAGTCATAGAAAGATTGAGCTTGGCTTAGGTGATGACTCGCAAATGGAACGGTGAGCAGAAGTTGTCGTATGCCATCGGGCATTGGTCCAGATACTAACCTAATTTGCTTACAGAACCTAAGAAAGAGGAATGAATAATTTTTTATTAGTATGCACAGGCCAGGTGGTTCGGTCACGTCTGCCGCATGCCCCCTGAATTATTTACCTTGATTATTTGCAATTTTTAATTGATGAACTACTGGATTTCTTCCTGGATTTCAGAAATATTCCTAATGAGTGTTGACTGGAATTCTCAAAAAGCCCAGTAAATGAACTCTTCTTCAAAATTCTTCAACATTGAGTACTAAGTGAAACTACACCCTCCAGTGTTATGGAATTGTTTGTAGGAAGCAATAAACCAGAAGGAAAAAAAAAACTTGCTTCCTTGACCTCGTTTTCTTTTCTTGGATTCTTGTTGAAAGCTTCATTCAATATTTTTTCCAATAATATCAGTTATCGAATATCGAAATACAAAATATAGTTTTATTTGAATATCGAAATACAAAATATCGTATTATTGGTATATCAGAAAATTCTAATATCGTTACATCCCTACTAATAATGAATATACCTTTTGGTTTGTGTAGTGAAATCAAAGGTGTATTGGTGCATGGTGCATGAAAAGAGAGGGCTGTAAAAAAATTGCCAAAACATGTAAGCCTATCAATACTTAGGACATTCCAACTATTTATATCAATCTTTAAGCCACCATAAAATCACTAACAAAATTTAACAGACTTACTGCGAATTTTCATAATGAGAATATAACAGCTTATATATTGTTAGACTAATCTTTTTATGCATGACATGGGATGAAAGCATGGACTTGGGGAATACAATTGCACTGATCATCTCTGCATTCCATATGTAAATCAGTTTGAAGCACCTTATCTGAAGTATTCTTTGGACTCATGCCAACACTTTTACTGTAATATTTTCTTAGCTTGATGTTTCTTTGAAATGCCGGCTTGAAATTTACTGGGTAGCCCAAAAAAAACAATCCCAAAGTAACATGTCTGCAGGTGGAACACCATTAGAGACAAGAACAATAAATTTATATGGTTTTACATTCAATATGAGCTGGTGTCTTACAATAACTTTGGTGAAATAGTTAGTTCTGAACCTGAAATTCTGAACAATTAAAATTAGTGCAATCAGTTCAGGAATTCTCTCTGGTCCCATTATATTTCTATGGATGAAAATGACTCATTTTTATTACCATGCTCACAGCTTCATATTGTTATTTTGTTTGGTATAACACTTTTACCATTTGACAGACAAGTTGAAAATGTAATTAAGAAAATTATGCATGGGGTGATACAGGTGATAGAGACCAAGGTCAGCATGATGACTTGAATCAGGGTTCCACAATTGCTGCTTCTTCTATCTTATCTTCTTGACCCTCCTGCTTCTGTAGTGAGTCTATTTGTCACCACTTCAGTTGACCTAAACTTGATGACGTTTGTGATGAGACTTTTCCAAAATTCCATTCCTTGCAGCAAATAGCAGACACACTTGGGAGAGAGACAGGGTGTTGAAAATTGTGATATCTGGAAGTTTAAGGATGTCTTCATGAGGATGTCTTCTGTTAAAGAGACAAATAGTATCTTTCATTTGAAGCATTTTTCTCATTTTGGGAAAGAAAATGGAAACCAAATTTCCTTGAACCTCATTTAAAATGTTGAACCTAAAGTCCAGGTCCACTGTCCTTCAGCAGGATGTGCATCATCATGTCCCAGTTATCACTATATATGGGCTAACCACAACCTCCATGTCATGAATCTTTCCAAAAAATTTTAAATATCACAATCGATTAAATTATGTAAAGAAATTGTGAACTCACTAATCAGTGATGATTTAAATCAACGGGAACTTATGCCTGGTAGCAGTGTTACAAAATGTAACTAAGTAATGTAAACTTCTTAGTTGCATCCCCCTGCATCAAGTATCCTGATTTTGTTCATTTTGGATCACAATCATCATCCTGTCTCTAATCAAATGTCTATACTCTCAAATCATCTGATCAATTGATGTGAAGATGACAATGAAAAGTCTCTTAAGTCAGAATCATGTAATGTAACTGTAATTTTCCTGCATCACCATGAGATATGAAGAAAGGAGAGAGATGAATGAGATTTTCTTCCCAATCTTTGTTGATATGGAGGCTGTTGAGTTTTTATGTCTCAGCACAAACTACATCTGCTTCACATTTGTGAAGATATTGTGAACATTTCATGTTCACAATATTTCATGTTCACATGATTTGTGAACATTTCATGTTCCTAAACATGAAATTACTATAGAAATGGTTTTTGGTGTTGCCAGTTTCATGCTTCAATGATGAAGAAAGGGCTGGAGAATGATTCAGTCAAGGACACAAGGAGTGTTTTATCTATAGAGGAGAGGAAGGATGTTGCCTTGGAGTATGAGTGCTCCCTCATCACAGGTTACTTCCAGTGATTCTGGGTATAAATTATTGTCTGTACCTGTGGCAGGCTAGATAAAGCCTTGTGAACCTGTGAATGAGGTTCACAGGAAAGGAGATCTGGGAGGACAGGGATGGCCCAGCCTGCTTAGTCAGCTTGCATATGCTTCCCAGGAAATTCCTATTTATCTCCTCAGGTTTGTGGGAAAAATATATATTTTTCACACACTGACCCACAATACACTCAATGCTAGAATCCCTCTGCCCTCTCAAAACAATTGACTCAATTCTGATGGAGATAATTATCCTTTGGATGTTGACCTATGTGCTACCTTGCTCACATTGTCAGACAACTCCGCCATCTTTCAATATGATCCATGCGAATTCCTTAGAAGTGTAAAGACCTCCTGATGCAGAGATGATCCCAGAGTTGACAGAAGATCCACTTGCCTTCCTCTGACTGGAAATGGAAGCCACCTGTGAGATCCTGATGGGATGTGTGGAGCAATTCAAGGACATGCACATTCCGATCAGGTCCCTTGCCGGCCAGATCGAAGAATGCAAGACACAGATGGATG